TCAAGCATGGTATCGCCTAGTCAGTACTGCCCTAACTGTTTGCGGCCAGCTTCAAAGTGTTAGATTCGTGTGACGGGACCCTGTTTGGCGCGCGCGCGTGTTCGCACGCATCGGACAGCTAGACCCTGATGCAGGCTTACATGCAACAAGCCTCTGCGCCAGCCACCACCACCATCCCGGCGAATACAAGCGCACATGAAGGTCGCCATCATCGGCGCCGGGCCCAGCGCCCTCGTCACCGCAAAGACGCTCCTCGAAGTCAGCGATGCGCATCCAGACTTCAAGCCCGTCATCACCATCTTTGAGGCAGAGGACGACATCGGCGGCACCTTCCGCTACCGCTCCTACTCCAACGCCACCCTCGTCTCGTCCAAACAGCTCACCTCCTTCTCCGACTTTCGCCTGCCCCTCGATCACAAGGACCACCTCACCCTCGCCGAGTATGTCAACTACCTCGACGACTACACCAGCCACTTTAAGCTTCGTTCACGATGCCATTTCCGCATGAACACCAAGGTCATCAAGTCGGTGCGCGTCGACGGCGGCCATCTGGTGCGCTACCGCTTGCTCGACGCTCCGCCCGACGGAAGCGCAGACCGCTCCGAGGTGTTTACCCATCTGTGCGTGTGCTCCGGTCTCCACGTCACCCCTGCGCTCCCCACCATCCCCGGCCTGCCACCCACCATCCAGGGCGATCAGCTGGTGGACAACCCCATGGGCTCCGACGAGGCCGTCGCATCGCGCATCCCCGAGCCCATCCACCACGCTAAGTGCGCCGCCAACATCATCACGCTCCACTCGTCCCAGTTCAAGGACCGCTCCCTCTACCGCGGCAAGCGCGTCATGGTGCTCGGCACCGGCGAGACGGGCATGGACATGGCGTACGAAGCGGTCAAGGCCGGCGCCAAAGAAGTCGTCCTCTGCACCCGCTCCGGCTTCCTCCTCTTCCCCGCCGTGCTCGCCGACTTTGTCGTGCTCGGCAACGTCTTTGACGGCAACCTGCCCATCGACGGCCTCATCACCAACCTCTTCGAGACGGCCTACGTCCACCCCTGGGTGGCTGCATCCCATCTGCGCTGGTTCGTATCCGACTTTGTCATCAAGCGCCTCCTCTGGCTCCTCACCGGCACTCAGGCCGGCTGCAACCAGTGGGTGGGCGAGCTCGAGCCCCATCGTCTTGGCCGCGCCTACACCTTTCTCAACAAGAGCTCCAAGGCCATGCCCTACATCAACCGCGGCTGGAAGCGCCGTTCGCCTCTGCTCGAACGTCTTACGCGATACCTCGATCCGCCTACCGTCAAGCCCGACGAGGTGTCGGTCGACCTGGCGCCCTTTCCTAAGTGCGTGAAGGAAGACGGAACGGTGGAGTTCGTCCGCAACGGTCGCAAGGAGGAGCTGCGCATGCGCAACCGCACCGTCAAGCCCGACATCGTCGTCTACGCTACCGGATACACGCAGAACTTCGACTTTCTCTCCAAGGAGTACCCCGTGCCCGCTACGGTACGCTGTCGCGATGTGTTTGACGCCGATGATCCGAGTGTGGCGTTTATCGGATTCGTGCGTCCCGGCGTGGGAGCGATCCCGCCCATCGCAGAGATGCAGGCGCAGCTCTGGACGCTCGTCCTCCGAGGTCAAATCCCCCCGCCACTCTCGACCCCGCACTACTACCTGCTGGTCAAGGAGAATGCAAGGATCAAGTACGGCGTCGACTACTCGTCCTACGTCTCCACACTGGCTCGCGATATGGGCACTGCCCCGCCGCTGGCTGAGCTGCTTTGGACGTACGGTCTCAAGGTCACGCTCATCTACTGCTTTGGTGCGGCGTTCCCGACGTTCTACCGTCTTCTCGGGCCATACAGGCATCCCGATGCGAAGCGCATTGTGGAGACCGAGATCTACGATACGATCAGACGCCGCGGCGTGGTGGGCAACCTCATGATGGGTCTCATCCCCATGCTCTTCTATGCCTGGATCAACCTCGTTGCGCTCGTCGCCGAGACGGGCTGGAGGATCGTTTCGGTCCTTACGCCGGGATCGTCGCGCAAGGCTGAGGCGTCCACCGGGCGTCGGTTCCAGAGCGACTTTCACCAGGACAGCGCTGCGCCAGTCATGGCCGGGAGGGGAAAGAATGCGGGGAACAAGAGAGGGCGAATGCTGCGGTTGTTTGCGTTGTTTGCAGGCACGCTTGCTGTGGCAGGGCAGGGGGTGGAGGGGAATACCGAGATCCGCAACTTTGGACCTGTGCGGTGCCGCGCCGACGAGTACGGCCATTTGGCCGCCAAGGCAGCCGACCAGCTCTCGGCCTCGTGGTAAGTCGTCGCACCTCGTTCATGTACGATACAGCACTCTTGAATCGGTTTTCGAGACTGACCTTGTTGTGGGGGTCAAGGCCGGTACTGCACGCACGAGCGCAACCGTCTCTATTCGCGCTTGACCTTGACGGTTTGGGCACGGCATCTGCAGCAGGAGCCTGGGTGGTACTAGACCTTTCGTCGGGCGGGCGGTTTACGCTGCCGTCTCCCCGCGAGGCAAGGATGTACGCCGAGTTGGGTGTGCGCGGTCGATATGTGCGCGAGACGATCGACAGTATAGCATGGTGGTTCACCCGACGTTTTTCGCTGCGTGCGTCGGTGGGAGCCCAGCTGGCGGTGGATCTAGATCTGCATGTCATGGGCCCAGAGGAGGCTCTGCAGTTGGGCGGCGTCGAGTGGAAGGCCGAGCTGGTCGAAACTGCCCGCGTCTCCACCGACGGTGTGACACTTGAAACAAAGGAGCACGAGGAAAGGGAGGAGGGGGAGAGGGTTACGTTTAAGGATGTACACAAGCAAGTGGCGGGCGAGATTTTGGCAGCCGATACAATTGCCATGAGCGAGGAAACACCGCCGCTGTTTCCCTGCACCAAGCTGTTCGTGCACATTGTACCCCGACCTGTCGGCGTCACCATCCCCCCTCCCGCAGCTCACAACTCAACGTTGCTGCGACTGGCAGAGGCCGTCTTTGGCGGTTTGCAGTCCACCTCGCACGGGGCACACGCGGCACCCATCCACCTCACATTCGAACGACTCTACCTCGGCTTCCTCCCCTCCACCGCGCTCAACCTCCTCCCACCCCTACTGGCCATGCTCGCCCTAGCATACTTCTTCATCATCCCCACCCTTCACACCCTCATCCCCCCGCGCACCCCTACCATCCCCCCGCGCACCCCTACCAAATCGAGCTAAGAACAATCAATTGCAGGTATAAAGCATATTCACCCCTTAAGCGCCTTCTTGGCGTTCTTGAAGCTCAAGTGCGCCAGCGCATTGTACAGATTAAACAGCCTCGCGCAGTCCTTATCCTGCTCGAACGGATACTTTGCGCCGATGGCCACTGCGGCGGCATAGCCGGAAACAATGGCCACCTCTTGCATGTTGACGAGCGTCCAGCCGCCGCAGTAATTCGTGTGGTTGGCGCCGTTGATGAGCCAAAGCCAGGGGACGACGTAGGCATAGTGGGTCCAGCGATGCGATTGCTGCTTCCACCACTTTTCCAGGATGACCTTGTCCTTGCCAATCTCGTTGCGCGTCCACTTGTCCTCGAGATCCTTGTTCAAAAAGATGGTCTGGAATACGTGGTCTCGCACGGGAGGATCCTTGAGGTCGTCCGGGTTGGTGGAGGGTAGTTGCGACAACTCCTTCTCTTGCGAGTCACCCTGTCGACCGTGCGGACCTTGACGCTCGCGCGGCGGTGCAGAGTCGGGAGAGCGCGCACCCCGATCGCGTGGCCCCGTCGGTCCGGACCCACTGAACTGTGGCTGGTAGTTGGTCAGGTCAAACGACATCTCGATCAGCGCCGGATCGTCGTCGTACATCTTGATCAGATACAGCGGCTTCCAGTTCTCCTCGGCGAACTTGAACGACTTCTTGGTCTCTTCATCGTCACGGTGCTTGGCGTTGTACTTGGCGTCGTACGTCATCTGGTAGTGCTTATCCATGTAGTCGTAGTCGTTGTGCGTGGTGGTAATGTCCCAACGGTACACGATGGAACCCAGAATCTTGCGTTCCTTCCACGTAGCTGCCTTGCCCAGGATCTTGAGCGAGGTGTCCGCATCGCATGCCAGGATCAGCTCGTCAAACACCTCCACCCGCTCCTCGTCGTCCCCCGTCGCAAGCGGCTTCCCGTCCTTATCCACGCGACGAGAAGTCACCACGATATTACCTCCTCGCTTACGCGCCTCCTTGGTATTGCGCTCGATCTGCGTCACTTCGCGGCTGGCCTCGAGACGCACATTGCCGTTCTTGGTGACCTCGTCGTGCCACGCCGCATAGACGCGCGCGAGCTCCGGGAACGCCATCATCGTAGGAACGCTCGCCAGCAGACTATCCTCTGAAAACTCGAACAGCCGCATGCTCGGATCGAGGAAGACGCGCTCGAGGATCGCCGACGAGATGTGCTTGGTATCGTTACCCGTACCAAAGAAGAGCGCGACGAGAGGGTATACCATGCGCTCGCCGAACTCGTCCGAGAAGCCGAACATCTTGAGCATGCGATGCACGGGGATCACCGCAAACACCACCTCGAACCGCTTGATCGTCTTGAGCGTCGTGCCGAACTTCTTGATGTCCGCGGCGTACTTTTCGACAAGCTCCGAGGGAAAGACGTTGGACCAGAACGTGTCCTTGCCCTTGCCGAACGAGATCTGCATGCCCACCTCCTGCGCCTTGAAGCCGAGCACGTGCTCAAACACCTTGAACGTGTTGTAGAACACGGGCGAGGCGCCCTGTACGCCGTCGTTGATGTACTGGGAGCGGTATTTGGCCGGGTCGGGCAGCTGGTAGGAGGTCGCCGAGCCGCCGAGCGAACACTGCTTGTCGTACAGCGTCACCTCGAACTCGTCGGGCGAGAGCGAAAAGGCGTGGCACGCCGACATGCCCGATGCGCCAGCGCCGACGACGATGACGCGCTTCTTGGGCTTGGTGTGCGCTCCGCCATTGGCCTGGCCGTTCGCCGCCGAGGACGACGACATGTTGAGAAGGTGACGGTGAAGGAAAGATCAGAAGTGGGCCGGATCCTTTGGCTGAATGCAAAAAGGGTTGATGCAGAGATGGTGGGTAGGAGGAGAGCGATGTACCCGGTCGAATGACTCTGAAGGCCTTGTGCGGAGAGGCGTGAGGAATGGAGGCTTGCGCGGCGTTAGTCATGCTGGAACTTGGCTGGATGCCAACACCAAGCCTGCAGCTTTGCATCCAAGTTGCAAGACCCTGACGAGCGAGGAGGAAGCGGCTCGGCTTAGCAAAGCGCGCTGCAAGGACGTCATTTTCGATTCGGCGGCGGCAATCCCCAAAAGACGCGGCTGACAGCTGCACGCCTGCATGACGCCGCGTCTCGTTCCTCCACTCCGATTCGGGCCGATCCGACTCCATCGCTCTCAGAGGCATCGGCGATCGGATCTGGCGCTGCAGAAGGACACGCCGCGTCGCAGCGTTCTTCTGGAAGCCGACGTGTTTGAACCCTGCGCCAAAAACGAGAGCGAGGGGAAAGCGCTCGGCGCAGAGACCAACACGGCAAGCTCCGACCCGCTTGCTCGGCATGCTTCCGAAACTCGTATCCTCGCTGCTGCGCAAACCTTGATTCGTTCTCCCTATCATCACACGCATCGCCCGGTCACGCCGATCCTCGACCCTCGTAGCCTAAGTCGAGTAGCGCCTCGCTGGCTCGAGCTCGACAGCAGCAGCCCCGCAGCTACTCTCGAGGGCAACCCTGCCGACCCTTCATTTGGCTCATCACCTCGCATCTCGCTCCAACCAAACCTCGCCTTCCGCCAGGCTTTCGCTCCGAGATCAATTGCTCAGCCGCGTTGCTGCTATGCTATAGAATCCGCCCCCCGACCTCCTTCGGCGCACTCCATCTTGTCCGCCAACATCGTACCCTTCACACTCACTCCATTCATCAACATGTCTTTCGCCGCCGTCCACACGCCGTCGCGCGCCTCTTCCTCCAAGACACCGGAACCCTTCCGCCGCAACGACATATACGATCGGATTGACCATCGTGCAAACCAATACGACGACGACGACGACGACGACGACGA